CCTCTCTCTCTCTCCCTCTCTCTCGCTCCCTCCTTCGCCATTTTCTGGATGATGGACGCCGCTTCTGGATCGGTTCTGGTTGAATCGGCGTAGTAACGGACGATTAACAGCTAAATCGTGGAAAGAATTTTGAAGAAGTTGGAGTGATGCGCGTTTTTTAGAAGACTTTTTTCGATCGATACGAAATATCTGTTGCGCGTGAAGGGGAGTATTTATAACGTTGTCGAATTGAAACGAATCTTTCTTCATAAGAAAAGTTAAACGAACGAATATCTATATAATCTATATAATCTAAATACAAATTCTAATTTAAATATAAAATTTGAAGATTTATCGGATCAGAGAACGAGGATTGAATTTATTGAAATAAAATATATATATTATTCAATTACATAAACAATTACAACGAACTAGAATTCTCAAGGAAATAAACTAACTTTTTTTTCTTTTTCTTCTAACTTTTTTTTTCCAACGATAAAATTCCAAATTTCAAGACGCAGAAATTTATAAGATTAATCAAGAATTAAAATTATTAAATCTCTGCAAAAATCTTGTCACAGACACGTAATACACGCGCGTGTATGCAGGGCGAAGACGAACTTTAATAAAGCATGAACAAACGCCGGTACATCGTGTACTCTGGGGTGTCGAATAATGGGGTGTTCGGGTTCGGTATCGCTATAATGGTGTTTCTCCCTCTGTCTCTCTCTCTCTCTCTCCCTCTTTCTCCCCCTGCTGACAATAGGTCGGCCAGGTCAAGTGTGCGTATACTAATCATGTTCCTGGTCAGGGCCGAGGTCCGAAAATGTAGCGAGGAAATGCGAACTATGCACGAGGCACAATGCCCCCCTCGCACTTTCGACCAGATGCCATGGATATTCGGACCCTGGGACGCCTACGGCGTTGCCACCATGCTCGAGAAATACAGGCAAATGATAGGATTTCGCCCCTAAGAAGTTTCGAGAATTTTTATTGCAATATTGCAAATCGATCGTATCGCGATTATGCGTTATTCATTCGAAGATATTTTATTCGATTCACTCCGTTTAAAATCTTGTCATTAAAAGAAATATTGGATTAGAAGATGTTACTCGAAACTCGTGTATCAAATATAAATATATGGACACATTCAAATATTAAAATTAAGGCCTTTTATTCAAGCTTAAAAAACCTAATTTACTTGAAATTCGTGTATCAAATATAAATATGAGATATATATAACGAATATAATCGAATACTTGTTCAAATTCGTTAATTATTATTCAAATATTACGATGGTTAGAGCTTTAAGGTTTCTTTTGTTCAAGACAAATTTTAATAAATTTTAATGTTATCTTGTGTTATTATACAGAAGATACAACGAATATAATCAAATACTTATTCATCGCTATCATTCAAATATAGTCAGACCTTTTATTTAATTTACTTCGTTTACAATCTCATCATTAAAATATTAAATTAAATTAAAAGATGAAACTCGTGTATCAAATATAAATATATGGACACATTCAAATACTAAAATTAGGGCCTTTTATTCAAGCTTAAAAAACCTAATTTACTTGAAATTCGTGTATCAAATATAAATATCAGATACGAATATAATCGAATACTTGTTCAAATTCGTTAATTATTATTCAAATATTATAATGGTTAGAATTTTAACTTTCTTTTGTTCAAGATAAATTTTAATAAATTTTAATGTTATTTCGTGTTATTATATAAAAGATACAACGAATATAATCAAATATTATTCATCGCTATTATTTAAATATAGTCAGGACCTTTTATTTAATTTCGTTTACAATGCTATCATTAAAATATTAAATTAAATTAAAAGATGCTACTCGAAACTTATATGTAACTCGAATATAAATACATCGAGGTTAATCGGAAAGAAAAGTATTGTCATGGATGATGAGGAGATGTCTGTACCTGTGGCCATAAGCTGACGCGGGCAGAACGTAATACCTGGCATTCTTCGAGGCGAAATTCGAACACTGGGCCAAGTTTCCCACATCTTCCCTTTCGGAAGAGGGGGTGGATCCACCGTACGAGAGACGACAACGAACACTTTCCACCACGTCCTCTATTACGGGATCAGTGTCGAGAAGTATCGGCGAGATTAGAGAAAGGCGGATGGTTTTATGCGATGGCGTGGCGAGGAGGTTGAATGTCGCGTGGGATCGCGTAGGATTAAAATCGAGTAGCAGCCTCTCCAAGGGTGGAAACCCATTCCGCTTCGAAAAGCCTCTCCAAACGTAACATTTAAACCTTCTCAAAAAAAAAAAATAGTGTTGCGTAGATCAGAAATAATAATAGAAAAGCTACAATTCGAATATTTCAAAGAATCGTAAAAATTATCATGAAGTTACGTTAGATCGATCATCCAAGACTGAAAGCTAAAATTTCGTCTTATACGTACAATTATTATCCTAATTGAACACAAAATTATAAATCAAAGTATATACCGTTACAAATCGTAATTACTTTATATGAGAAATAAGACAATTTTTAGAATACTCTAAACTGATCCATCATTTTGAATTACTATACGACAAATATCACGGTAGGAACAAAAATTGATTTCCTTTCACGGTGCGTCAATCTCCTATTTTCATATATGAAAATCAAAAATTCAGCTTCAGGAAAGAATATCGTCGACGAGAAGGGAAGCTCACCCCTTTCGCATCGGTGTTTATCCTCTCGTGGCGTCGGGGAGAAGGTTTACACGCGTAACAAGCCCCGAATCGCGAAACGACACTTTGAAGCGTCGCATCTGCGGTTACCCAGAAAAAGAAGTCCAGCGTGGAAAACGGCTACTGTCGCTCTATGTCGTTTAATCCCTTCGCACGGCCCCCCCGCGTGGCTGTCCCGCGACCGTGCCCCGTAACGCGATTTAGAGCGAGCAGATTTTAAATCCGAGAGGTGCGCGTGTATTCATTGTGAGGCGATTCATCCCTACC